AAATCAAGTATAGATTGTCTACCTACCTACAAGCATGAATTAAATTGTAGAACAACCCATTAAGCATAAGAATAATCCATTAAATTAATTGACAAACCCATTCAATGAAAACCCATGCTTAGCCATCACTAAATCCTTAATTAATCACACATAGACATGCAACCAACATAGAGAATCTAGTGTAGAGATCAATTCCCAAATAATCACACATAAGACAACATGTAATCAAATAGAGAATCAATAGAAAGAATTAATCCATATGAATCATGTAAGAATTAATTCCTAATTTAATCACACATAGACATGTAAATAAACTAGAGAATTAATAAGAAGAATTAAACCATAGAAATCATAGAAATATACCAATATTCATTAAATTCACAAGGCTAGAACACTAATCACAACAATATATATAAATCCCCAAAAATAGAAATATAAGGGTTTAGATTACACAAGACTCAGGGCTTTCATCCAAGCCCTAAGTGTAGATCTAGCCAATCATGGAGGAGGTAGATGTGGTCATGAAACGCTCAAGGGTAAGCTCCAAACATGGCTCCATCTTCTTCCTCTTCTTCTTTGAAGCTCTAGAGAGAGAGGGTGAATGGATCTAGAGATGTGTTCTTGAGATGTGCCTCCACTTCCCTCTTCTCTTCTAACCCTAATCTCTAACTTTCTAGAGAGAGAAAAGTAATGAAAATATAGAAATTACAATGACATATATGAATCTCCCTACAAAAATGGTTGAATCCCTCTTATATACAAGGCTTTGAGAGCCCAAATATGTGAGAACTCGGCCCTAGAATCTTCCCTTACAAGCTCTGCCCGAGTTGGTTCGAAATGAGATTCAGATCTACTTTTTAATAACTTTTGCGAACAATTCGATCGATCAGAGAAAAGTTCGATCGATCAGGATAAGTTCGATCGATCAGAAAAAAAGTTCGATCTATCCAACTTGGCAGTTTTTCAGCATCAGCCTCCTTTTGCTCCAAATTCTCACTAACACTTAGTTTGACTCCAAAAAGGCCTTAAGAAACCATTTTTAGCCCGTTTTAACATTATTGATCTAAAAAGGGGAATAATACGAAATTAGTCTAAAACGAAAAAATAAGATAGATAAAGGTTCTAGAATATTCAAGCTTAAGGGGTTTAAATGCGCACTTTTCAGCACTCATCAGAAAGGTTGAAACCTTCAAAGCAAGGCTTGTTGCGAAAGGGTTTACTCAAAAAAAGGGTATCGATTATGAGGAGACTTTTTTGCCAGTAGTTGTTGGAAATCATATCTATAAGTTGACTTAATGATTGTGGCAGATTTATTGGGTCTTCATTATAGGCTAATGTTTAGGAATTTTATTTTTATTCTGATTTTATTTTATTTTCTTTATTCTAATTTTATTTTATTCTCTTTTCTATAATTGTAATTTTTCTCTTGTATATAATAATAGTCAGGCTCTCAAATTGAGTACGCCAATTTTAACAAGTTACTTTTTGGTATCAGAGCCTCAAACTTACGCCTCCCCCCCCCCCCCCCCTCTCTCTCTCTCTGTTACCGCCTCTTTTGATCTCTCTCTCTATCTCGTCACAACCCCTTCCCTATTTCTTTTTCCCTTTTCTTCATGGACCCTCTCTCTTCTTCAGGCCGCTGTTGCGACAGTCCTAGGGGGAGCCAATCTCCTCTAGGTTCGACCCCTATAGGGGTATTCCCTTAGTCTTTTTCATGCACTAAGGGTCAGAAGACGTGTTTGTAATTTTTTGGGGCTGCCGGGATACTCGGCAGCATTTTTGGATCAGACCGCCATGTCTTCGGCTTCTTGGTTTGATCAAAATCAGGTTTATTCCTCCTTTATTTGAAATTATTGGTGATCTATTGAATTATTCTATTTAATATTATGGCCGAATCAAGTAATAATAAAGAAACTCTCTTCTCGGCGCAACACACACCGGCTCAACGAGTTACTAGTGTGCTGTTGAATGGCAGTAATTTTGCATCCTGGGATCGTTCCCTCCGCCTCTATATTGGTAGAAAAGGCAAATCAGGGTGGATTTTGGGTATTGAAAAGATGCCAGATATTAAAGATCCTAAATATGCTCAATGGGATATGGACAATTGCACCATTTTAGAATGGATGTTTAATTCTATGGAGGAACGCATTTATAATATATTCATGTTTTATGACTCTGTTAATGACTTGTGGACTGCTTTGAATCAAATGTATGCTCATTCTAGGAATAATGCTTGTATTTTTTAATTATACCAAGATATTGCTAAGGCCTCGCAGGAAGGCCTGAATTTGTCTGTAGCTGATTACTTTGGGTATTTGAGATCTCGTTGGGAGGAACTAGCTCAAAATGAGCCTCTCAGTGAATTTCCTTCCGAGGCAGCCTCTCTTCTTGTCAAACGTCTTGATCATCAGCATACCTATCAGTTTTTTATGGGATTACGCCCAAAATTTGAACCACTAAAGTCTCAGATCTTGAATGCATCACCAATGCCATCCCTGTTGGAAGCCTTTGCTACTGTTGATGGTGAAGCACGCAGGCACCGTTTAATTCAGTCCTCACTTATTCCTCTACCAGTGTCTAAGCCTGCTAGGGATAGTATGGCTTTTGCAGCCAACGTGCTTCTGAAGGTCAGATTATTTGTCACCATTGTGGAGGGGTTGGACATGTTAAAGCTTGTTGCTTCAAACTTCATCCTGAACTGAAGCAGAAATTTTTTAGGAACCGTTTATCTGGAACTGGTTCTTCTCGTACTGCGGCTGTTGCAAAAACTCCTGTTACTACTGGTGGATCTATTGTATTTTTTGGACTGAGCCAGCTTCAATCTCAAATTGGGCAAATCCAAAACCAGCTTGTCTCCCTTGCTTCTAGAGTTGGTGCTCCTTCAGCTGCTCCCACTGCCACTATTGCTATAGGTACTCTTACTGTATTTCATGTTAAGGCCAAGCAACCCACTTGGGTTCTAGATTCTGGGGCCAATGATCACATGACTGGAATGTCATACCTGTTACCCAATCTGTGTATCTTGCGGATGGCTCTACATCTTACATTCACAGTAAGGGTGATGTTTGTTTGTCTCCTAATATTACTCTTTCATCTATCCTTTATGCACCTAAATTTGCCTTTAACCCTTTATCTGTTAGCCGGCTTGTAAAAAACTTCCAATATGCAGTTATATTCTTACCAGATCAATGTTTGTTGCAAGACCTTTGTTCGAAGAGGATTTTTGGCAAGGGTTATGAGTGTGATGGGCTTTTACTACTTTGGGGAACCACCAGGAACGAGTCTTCAAGCTTCTGTCCTACCTACTTCTAGTGTTTATGATGTTTCTTTTCACACTTTTAGTCTGTGGCATGCACGTTTGGGGCATGTAAACTTTCAGTATCTATGTTTATTGTTTCTTTTGTTAAATAAAGCATGTAAGGACCATTAGTTTCAATGTGAAGTTTGTGAGCTTTCTAAACATACTAGAACTAGCTATATTTCTCATATGAGTCGTGCTCTTAGTATATTTGATCTCATTCATTATGATGTCTGGGCCTTCCCCAGTTACTGCTTTCTCTGGACATCGATATTATGTGACATTTATTGATGATTATTCTCGTTGTACTTAGGTTTATTTATTGAAAAAGAAATCTGATGTGTTTCTTTTATTTACCTAGTTTCTTCAAAACCTAGTATAACACTGTTGTCCGTCATATTCGTTCTGATAATGGACGTGAATATGTTTCAAATGAGTTCCGGACTGAACTTAATAAAAAGGGGATTTTACATAAACTCACTTGCCCCTACACTCCTGAGCAAAATGGCGTGGCTGAACGCAAAAACCATCATCTTATGTCTATGGTCCAATGTCTTTTGAGTGGTATGCATGTGCCTAAATTCTATTGGCATATGACTGTTCTTACAGCTGTTTTCTGATTAATCGTACTCCCAGTCGAGTTTTGGGTGCCCCACTTTAGATTCTCCAGCCTGATTATACATTGTTTCATCTTCGCCTCGTGTTTTCAGCTGTACTTGTTTTGTTCATAACCGTAGTCCTTCTCGTCATAAACTTGATGATAAATCAATTAGGTGTATTTTCTTAGGGTATTCTGCTATGTCAAAGGGTTATCGTTGTTATGATCCTACGACCAAATATATGTATCATTCTCTTGATGTGACATTTCATGAAACTGTTCCTTTTTATAGTACTAATTCTATGGTACATGATTCTCTCTCTTGTGGCCTGGAGAATGAGATTTCTCCTATATGAGGCTAGAATTCCGGCTACTTAGTGAAAAGGGTTTGTTATCCCATCTTGTTCTTCTCTTTGAAAATCACACTGTCCCAGATCTCCTTCTACATCCATGCAGGGTTCCCCTCCACCTTTGCAGGTTTACTCTCGTCGCCATTGCACTCAACCTCCCCTGCCAGAATCATCTTCAAAACCAGGTCCAGGTAACTCTCCTTCTCCTATGGCTCCTACCATTCCTAAGCATACCTCCCGTTATCCTACCCGTGATCGTCACCCTCCTAATTGGTATGGCTTCTCTAGTAGCATTAACCACTCTGTTTCCCAGTATATCTCCTATGATGGTCTTTAAGGTGCATATAAATCCTTCCTGAGCAAGATTGGGACCATTTCTATTCCTCGATCAGTGTCACAGGCCCTTCAGGATCCCAATTGGGTGTCTGCCATGACAACAGAAATAGATGTTTTACAACATAATAATATATGGGAACTTATTGCTTTACCTACTGGGAAGAAAACGGTTGGCTGCAAATGGGTCTTTAATGTGAAGTACTTAGCCGATGGTTCTATTGATCGGTATAAGGCTCGGTTGGTGGCAAAAGGCTTTACTCAGATTCTGGGCAAAGACTCTGGTGCTACCTTTGCTCCTGTGGCAAAGTTAACGTCTGTGTGACTACTTATCTCCTTGTCTGCGGCCCATTCTTAGCCTCTACATCAGTTAGATGTCAAGAATGCATTTCTTAATGGAGACTTACTTGAGACTATATATATGGATCCACCCCCTGGATATCGAGCTGGGGGGGAGTATGCTGGGAAAGTCTTTCGGCTGCGGAAGTCTCTTTATGGTCTAAAGCAATCTCCTAGAGCTTGGTTTAGTTATTTCAGCGATGTTGTTCTATCCATGGGCTTTGTGCGCTGCCACTCAAACCATACTTGCTTTATTCGACGTCGTTATGATGGTCACTGCATTATGTTATTGGTATATGTGGATGATATCATTATCACAGGTGATGATGCTTTAGGGATTGCTCAAGTGAAACTTCATCTTCAAAAGTTCTTTGATGTGAAGGACTTAGGTCCTCTTCGATATTTTTTTAAAATTGAGGTTGTTAGATCCCGTTGTGGAATATCTTTATCTCAAAGGAAATATGTTTTGGATCTTCTTCAAGATACTGGCATGCTTAGGTGTCAACCCTCTTCCACTCCTATGGACTTCAATCTCAAACTCTCTGTTGAGTCAGGGGAATTACTTCCAGATCCATCCGTGTATCAGCGTTTAGTAGGTCGTCTAATCTACTTGACTAACATAAGGCCCGATTTGACATTTGTTGTTAGTGTGGTTAGTCAATTCATGCATGCCCCTCGCTCAACTCATATGGATGCATTCTACCATATTTTAAGGTATCTTAAGTCATGCCCTGGTCTTGGTCTACTATATGCCTCAGGAAATCAGTCTAGACTCACATGCTTTACTGATGCAGACTATGCTGGATGTAAGACAGATAGACGTTCTACCTCTGGCTTCTGTATTTTTTATGGTAATCATCTTATATCATGGAAGAGTAAGAAGCAAGTTGTTGTCTCCAGATCCTCTGCTGAAGCTGAATACCAAGCTATGGCTCAAGGTACTTGTGAGCTCCTTTGGCTTTAATTAATTTTGGGAGAGTTAGGTCTTATAGAGAAAAGTTCTTCAAGGCTGTTTTGTGACAATAAATCAACCATTATGCTTACTTCCAATTATGTTTTACATAAAAGGTCAAAATATATTGAAGTAGACATTCACTTTATTCAAGAGAAGGTTCGATTAGGTATCATTGATCCTATTTTTGTTCCCTCTTCAGAACAGACTACAGATGTGTTCAAAAAGTCTATTGGGCCTTCTTTTCTCCAGTCTTCCATAGTCAAGCTGGGCTTGGTCAACATGTTTGCTCCAGCTTGAGGGGGAGTGTTGGAAATCATATCTATAAGTTGACTCAATAATTGTGGCAGATTTATTGGGTTTTCATTATAGGCTAATGGTTAGGGATTTTATTTTTATTTTGATTTGATTTTATTCTCTTTATTTTGATTTGATTTTATTCTCTTTTCCATATTTGTAATTTTCCTCTTGTATATAATGATAGTCAGGCTACTTTTGTAGTCATACTTAAGTCTATTCGTATTCTCTTATCCATTGCAGCTCATCTCAATTACGATATTTGGCAAATGGATGTTAAAACGGCCTTTTTTGAATGGTCATCTTGAGGAAGACATTTATATGATGCAACCAAATGGGTTCATAGCAAAGGGCCAAAAGTATATGGTATGCAAGTTATATAAGTCTATTTATGAACTTAAGCAAGCATCTCGTAGTTGGAACATTCGGTTTGATCTAGTAGTCAAATCTTTTAGATTTGATCAAAATCTAGAAGAATCTTGTGTATATAGGAAAAGTGAAGGAAACATGGTGGTGTTTCTACTTTTATATGTTGATGAGATACTACTAATTGGTAATGATGTAGGAATGTTATCAACTGTAAAAATTTGGTTATCCAATAAATTTTATATGAGCCAGTTACATTCTAGGGATTAAGCTTTTGTGATATTGTAAAAGTAGAATATTGGGCTTATCTCAGACTACTTATATTCATAAAATATTGGTCAAGTTTGGTATGCATAATTCCAAGAGGGGTTTATTACCTTTCAGGCATGGAATTGCTCTTTCTAAACAACAGTGTCCTAATACACTAGAGGAGGAAGAATGCATGAAGGCATTTCCTTATGCTTCAGCAGTAGGAAGCCTCATGTATGCTATGTTGTGTACTAGACCAGATATCTGTTTTGCAGTTGGCATCGTCAGCAGGGTTCAATCCAACCCTGGACAAGAATATTGGATAGCGGTGAAACACATCCTTAAATATTTAAGGAGAACCGGAGATTACATGTTGATCTATGGGGGTGATGATTTAATTTTAGTGGGTTCCAGTCAAATAAGGATAACATGAAATCTACTTTAGGGTATGTGTTACCCTTAGTAGAGGAGCCATTAGTTGGAAGAGCGTGAAATAATCTTGTATTGCAGACTCCAGCATGGAGGTCGAGTACATAGCAGCTTCAGAGGCAGCTAAATAGGCTGTATGACTCAAGAATTTCCTCTTAGAGCTTGGAGTGGTACCACTGGCACGATCTCCTGTTATCTTATATTGTGATAATAGTGGGGCAATTACTTAGTCCAAGGAACCACGAATGTACATTGAGCGTAAATATCATCTCATTAGACATATAATTCAGTGTGGGGACATTGTTGTCACTAAGATTGCATCTGCAAATAACTTTGCAGATCGATCCTTTCACTAAGACTCTACCTACTAGGGTTTTTAAGTCTCATGTTGAAAGGATGGGTGTTATGTGTAATGGTAATTGTCTTTGAGCGCAAGTGGGAGATTGTTGGGATCATATGCCCTATAAGCCAATTATTTATTATTTATTCAATATTTTATTAATAAATGTGATATCATGCATTGGGCTTTACATATATTTGCATAAGATGCATTACAGTCATCAAGTTGCATTATAGGTGACTTAAGTGTGTAAATGAGATTTATACGCAGGAGATTTGGGCTCACTAGTTTCTTGTACCTTGGCATTGTTCGTAATCAGTGATAAAAGTTAGGCACTTTTATCTATAAGACTATTACACACTTAACCTCTATAAGATAAGATGATTTGTGTCGACTATTGGGGTAGTTGACTCTAAGGCAGTGTGTTAGTGTGCTTGGAGTACACTGAACTGGATCACCATAAGATCACACCATACAATATAATGTCATTATTTTGGTGTGTTTCTTATCTACTAAATTCATAGGCTCTAAATTCTAAGGGATTTAGTGAACACAAGTTTCAATACTAGTCACTTTGACTTACCAATGTGTGAGCTCTTTTAAGGTCAATATTACGATATATTAATCATTATTACCCCATCTCATGGATCAACAGATAAAACAAAATGAATAAATTCCATCCATGAATTTAACATCTATACATACATAGATAATAAATCATCACTATGATTTAATGAAGAGCACGTGGGTGGCTTTGATACCAACTGAAGGCAAAATGGAAGCATTTAAAAAAAATTCAGGATCTTATCCACGTGATTTTTTTTTATCAAATCAAGAAGTACAAAAAATGGATCTTATACCTTTTTGATGATTAATTAATCATCAACACTCCGAGAATAACAGTGAATTGGATTGTTCCTCCTTTTGGCCTTGAATATCAATGAGTCTTCACCTCTATGAGCCCGATGATAGGTTTGTGGAACCCTAACATTCTCTCTCACTTTTTGTGTTGGAAACGGCATTAGAAAACGCAAACTTTGGAAGGATTTTTAAAAAGATTCCGCTAAGAATTTTTTGCAAATCTATTGATGAGCGCGTTCCTCTCTGCGAGGAGATGAACGTGGTATATTTATTTTCTCAAATCCGTTTCTGGGTGAATGAGAAATTGGCTCCAAAGTAAGTGATTTATAAAGCCTAAATGGGTGTGAATAAAGTGGGAAATGCTTGTCCCACATCGAAAAAGTAGCAAAGCAACCTTAAGTATAAATATGTCTAGTATGGGATTTGGGTTTGGGCCCAAGGGCACCCAAGTTTTTAAGAGGGGGAGGACCTAGGCTAGCCTGGATCCGAACCAACTACCACACGCGCGCGCCGCCCGCCCGGTCCGGTCCGGGCTAGGGCGGGGCGGGGCTTGATTGTGAAATGGGTTTAACTTTTTACCCAAAGTTGGAATGGGCCTGTGTGGTTGTAATTTTATTTTGATGCTGGACTTATCAAAATGGGCCTGTTTACTGGGCTGAATTAATGGCCGAGTTGGATTATTTGTTTGCTGGACTGGACGAAATTAAAGGGCTGGGCTAGATCAGAATTTGAACCAAGAGTTGCACCCTTTACAAATTAAAAAACCACCAACAGTTTTTTAATTCTGATTGGTCAACAATGGTTGCACCCATTCGGATTATGGGTGCACCCATTCAGAATAGGCACCAACAAGCCTATAAATACCCATCATTGTCTTCATTTCAAAACACACCAAGTTCAAAAATCTTCTTCTCTTCTTCTGAATTTCTTCTTCTAATTCTTCTTTGTTCGGTTCAGCCACTGGTTTGGGTTCAACCTAAACTGGTTTGGATTGGGTTCGAACCTTGGTTTCCAAGTTTCGGTTCAATCTTGGTTTCCAAGTTTCGGTTCAATCTTGGTCTCCGAGTTAGGGTTCAATCCTGGTCTCCGAGTCTGAGTTCAACAGAGAGTACTACACCGAGCCGGTTCACCTATTCCATTGGTTTGAAGTGCTACTACCAAAGGAAGAAAAGTCGTTGTATCCTGGGAGATAGACGCCGAAGAGTCCGTTAGCACCGTAGCGGGGCGTATCTGTCTTAAGGCTATAGAATTAAATTCTAGCCTCGACTTTATCAGGTTCTTTTATAGTTTTATTTTCTTGATATTAAACTATATAAATATATATATAGATTATTATATTATTTACAAATAATATTTAAATAAATTATACTATAGTATATGATACATAATTTTTTTTTTCAACAATCTTAAGACAGATATCTTTATACTATAGTAATAATTATTTAATTATTATTCTTGTTATAATTAATTATAATTTGACTTGTGGTCTGTATATCAATATATATCAGACAAATGGCAAGTACGAGTATTACCGTGCCTAATGTTCCCGTCAGTCATGGGGAGAAGCCCGAAAAATTCAACGGGACAGAGTTTAAAAGGTGGCAACAGAAAATGATGTTCTACCTTACAACTCTGAATCTAAGCACGTATCTGACTGAGACTGCTCCAGTATTAGATGAGGGTGATACAGACATTACCAAACTTGGAGCTGTTGATACATGGAAGCATGGAGACTTCCTATGCAAGAACTACATCCTCAATGGATTGGACAACACCTTATATAATGTGTACAGTCCAATAAATACTGCTAAAGAGCTTTGGGAGTCTTTAGACAAAAAGTATAAAACAGAGGATGCTGGATTGAAGAAATTCGTGGTTGGACGATTTCTGGACTTCAAAATGATAGACTCCAAGACAATCGTGAGCCAAGTGCAGGAGCTCCAGCTGATCCTACATGAGATACATGCTGAGAAGATGACATTGAGTGAATCCTTTCAAGTAGCTTCAATCATTGAAAAGCTGCCACCTACTTGGAAAGATTTCAAAAATTACTTGAAGCATAAGCGCAAGGAAATGGGACTCGAAGACTTAATTGTCAGGCTGAGAATTGAAGAAGATAACCGTACATCTGAAAAGAGAGCCGGAAATTCTTCAATAGTGTCAAAGGCAAATGTAGTGGAAGCAGGACAGAAAAATAAGAAGAGGAAGCACTCTGGAGAAGGTCCTAGCCAAGGAAACTACAAGAAGTTCACTGGGAAGTGTTTCATATGCGGCAGGCTAGGACACCGAGCTAAAGATTGTCGTAGCCGCAAAACACATCATAACCCCAAGAAGAAGACCACTGAGGTGCACATAGCTGAAGAAGATAAGTTGACAGCTGATGTATCAGAGTTAAATCTTTCAGCTGTGGTTTCTGAAATCAACCTGGTAAGCAACAACAGAGAATGGTGGGTGGATACAGGAGCTACTCGTCATGTTTGCTCTGAAAAGAGGATGTTCACTACCTATGAAACTATAAATAATGAAGAACAACTTTACATGGGGAATTCTTCTACTGCAAAGGTTGAAGGACAAGGAAAGATCAAGCTACTAATGACCTCAGGGAAAGAGCTCACTCTTAATAATGTGCTGCATGTACCAGACATCAGGAAGAACTTGGTCTCTGGGTCACTACTAAGCAAGAATGGGTTCAAGCTGGTCTTTGTATCTGATAAGTTTGTGCTGACTAAGAATTGGGTGTATGTGGGCAAAGGGTATC